CCGACATCCCAGTTCCCGCCTGTGGGAGCTGTGGCAGCGTCCCCCCGGTGACGCGCGCTGGCCTGGCCCCCGCCCGTGCTCTCCTTCTCTTGCAGGAGATCCGCACAGTTCACCAGTTCCACTACAAAAACTGGCCAGACCACGACGTCCCCTCATCCATTGACCCCATCCTGGAGCTGATCGGTGAGGTTCGCTGCTACCAGCCGGATGACAGCGTCCCCGTCTGCGTCCACTGCAGGTGGGCAAGCTGGGCTCTGGCAGGGAGGGCTGCCGGCCCCCGATCCTGCGCTCTTGCCTCCCGCGGGGCCGCAGGGTGGGCCTCCGCTAGCAACGCTGCGGTGACTGTCATTGCAGTGCTGGCTGTGGGAGAACAGGAGTCATCTGCGCAATCGACTACATCCAGAAGCTGCTGAAGGACGGAGTGAGTGTCGTCCCCGTGCACGTCTGCCAGCAGCGCCCGCGCACAGCGCGCTGCACCTCTGCCTTGCCCTCGCCTTCTCTCTCCCCTCACGCTCCCCTGCACCCTGCTCTGACTGGGGACTCCCGGCAGCCTGACTGGAGAACAGCAGTGGCCGAGCTGCCGATACCCCGGTCCCAGATCGTGCTGCTTCTCCCCCTTTGGGCTCAGCAGCGCCCGTGCCTTGTCCGATGCCATCGCTCCCCTCCCCACCCCGAGGGTGCAGCCGGCGGCGCTTGTACCAAGGGGGCAAAATCCCCCCTCCCACTGCTCCCTCTGGCAGGGCCTTCAGATCAGGGAGCTTGACTCTGTGCTGGCCTTCAGTCTGCACTACGACTTTATGGTCTATATTTGTCTCTCTGCACTTAAATGTCAGAAATTCAAACTAAGAAAGCAAGCCTCTTGCTAAAAACTCTTGCAATAGCAGGCCCAGACTTTGGACACTGCTTTAGAATACATCATGGCTTGGAAGCTGCTTGGAATTAGGCCTGTCTGTAATTCTTTTTGTCTTTTGCTTGCAAGATTCTTCCAGTGAACTTCAGCATTTTTAGTCTGATCCAGGAAATGCGCACGCAGAGGCCTTCCATAGTGCAGACCAAGGTACGTTCGGGAAATTTCGACAGCTGAGAGACTCTCCTTACCGGGACCTTGGCTTTTCCCAGGAAGATTAGCAGTAAGGAAACACAGAGCAGATGTGCTGCTAGGAACTGGGGCGTGTAGACGTTCTGCTAGGTCCCTTTTCTGAACAGAAGAATGATTTTGCAGAAATGAACTCGGTATCTGACCATTTCCTTGTAGGCAGGAATAGCTTAGTGCTTGTAGTCTGATTTATCAAACGCTTACGCTGTGAAACAAGGGACTGTCCAGGAAATAAAGTGGGAACTCTTCTCAGATGAGGTAGATTGACGAGGAAGCTCAGTGCAGAACGACGTTGTTTGTGGACCCAAAAAATCTCCCAGATGCTGCAGTCTGAACCCTTTGAAAGTTGTGGCTTCTGTCTCAGCTAAATGGACCCTCGATGACAGGACCCAGTGAGCAGCAGCTTCTTGCAGGCTGATGCTTCATTTGGTAACAGGTGACCGTTCACAAGTATTGCAGGTGCAGGCTCTCATGTCTGGTTTATTTATCTGGAATGCAGGAGCAGTATGAGCTGGTTTATGATGCGGTGATTGAGCTTTTCAAAAGGCAGATTAAAGCACTCGATGCCCAGGAATACTCTGCTGCTTCACAGGTAAGAGTCCCAGGACAAACTCTCTGCCCCTTGCAGCCTCCAGCATGCCAGCTCTAACCCAGATTCCTGTTGCAGACCCAGGATGAATCCCTACATTTTCTGCTACCTTTGACTGAGCCTCTTTCCAAGTTAACCCATGAGAATCCAGCTGTCTCCCTAAACGGGTTTGGTACCAAGCGAGAGCTAAATTTTCTTTGGTCTCAAAACTATTTTCTATATACTTTTGCAGTTGTTTAAAGTAATGAGTGAATAAACATCCAAAACATCCATGGTTAAGCTTTTCTTTGCTTTTACTCTTCTTCTGTGACTGCTGGCATGAATCTTGTCTTTCCTACGTAGCTGTTTGCAATCTGTCTGAAACATGCATTGCCATTCTTAGGCAAAGGCTGAAAGGTTACAGTTAGCTGATTTTACCTGAAGAATTGCAAACAGAGCTGAGTGAGAAAATTGCTGGAAAGCGCTTTTTTGTGTCTGTGTTGTGGACAGTCTGTAAGCAAAGGAGATATATGACTAGGCTAATGCAAAATGCAGAAAACCGCTCAAGTCCAAATGTGGTTTTGTAGCTCATGGCCAAACCTCTCGCCCACCTAAATTTCGCTGCCCTCTGAAAGCACTTTTCAGAGCACAGGGCATGGTCATGTGCTAAAGTGTCAGGAATGAAACCAGCGCCTGACCTGCCAGGCTGCACGCCTGCGTGGGGTCCTGAAGGCAGAGCTGCTGAAGTGCAGGCTGCTTTGCAGGTGTTCGGAACAGCTGGATGGGTGTACAGGTCGCTGTACTCTCATTTCAAAAAGATACTGACAGGATTTGCTGTTCAGGAGGTTCTGTCCTCAGTTTTCAGCTCCACCATGGTGTTTTCAAGTTGGTGTTTGTCATTTCCAAACTGCATTAATAATTAAAACTTGGCACAAATTCCACATCCTGAAATAGCATGTTTGTGTGCTTTGCACTCTTCTTCCTCCTCACTCTTATCTTCTAACATTTTTCTCTCACTAGGTACAAGCAGGCCATCCTGTTGCCAAGCCACTTCTGACTTCACTGGAAGATATTTATTCTCTGCAGTCACTATCCTGGTAAGGCCAGAGCACAAGTAGCCCCAGGTTAGCATTTTCAGTCACTCATACGATTTCAGGAAGATGCATTTTTTCAGGTGTGCTTTGTGACACCGTTCTCATTGAACGTTGCATTTCAGTTGTCAGCAGGATCTGCAGCCTCCCTTGAGCCCCACTTTGACTGTCACATTTGTTCCTAACCTAACTCCTGCTCTTCTCACTGACATGTTGCATAGAGTGAGCCTCAGCCCCTTCCCCGCGTGCCAGTATCTGTCCCTCTCTGCTGCCCTCGGCTCTGTTTCCTGCTGTGCTTACAAAAACATCTCTTCATTGCAGCTCAGAGCGAGAGGAACAGGATGTGCGTCAGCATCTTCCTCCGGTGGTGCAAAGCGAAGCATCTCTGGCATCGTGGTCTGCCATGGGGGCACGGGGCAGCTCTGGTCGTGGAGCCCCTCCCATCAGACAGGCCATCTCCTTTGGCGCCTTGAACTTCATCAAGTGCAGAAAGGCAGCTGCTGGGGAGAAGTGGGCTTCTGGGGATGCTCTTCAGAAACACCACAGTTTGGAGTTCACCAGCATCTCCCCTGAGCCTCTCCTCCTGAGCCAGGAGCCGAAGGGAGCGGGCAGGCGCGGGCCTTGCGGCAGAACGCCTCTGACACGGACGGCATCGACCCCTTTTGTGCTGGCACAGCGCGGAGCAGGCTGGGAATGGGATGGAGGGGACACAACGCCTGGCGCGAGTTGGCAGTTGCCAGACACCTGCTTCTCAAGCTTTCAGGTGCAGGAGCAGGATGGATTTTGCCCTGTTGAGCCGAACCACTGGAGCCGAGAAGTGGATGGCCCCCCAAGCCACAGGAACCGTGGGCAGAGTCCTTACCCTCACTGCTGCTCAGCAGAAGACCCCTACTTCGCTTCCCTCTCCCCAGATGACACTGTGTCCCCGGGGTTTGCCGAATGCTTTGTGGAGGGGCAGGAGGCTCTCCTCCCCTCCTGCGTTGCCGAGGGCAGCTC